TGATGTGTATACTGATATGTTCCCCTTGTACAATTTGAATAATTTTGAACACAATTTCTGTGGAAATTTCTCCAGAAAAGTGGCAAAAGCATTGGAGAGTCTATAAAAGTGAGTTTTTAAAAACTATTTACATATCCTGCTACATGTTGTTTTGCAGCTACGCTCATTGAGTTGAAAAAGCTGTCAAATAACATAGATCAATACAAAATTAATTATTTTGCTTAATGTTGTGATAGCTTTTCAAAATTTTTTAAAAATTTCTAAACGACCCAAATACTTAACGGAAGCCTTATCAAGCAAACATTGAGGTAGGTTTTCAAGAGGATCTTAATGGAAAATGCAGAAGTTGAGGGATGGAATTCCAGAGCTTGGGTTACATGAACGGTGGGAAGATTGCCTTCTGTTGAAGAGCAATTGATGCGCTAGCATGGCATTGGCATGTAAAAGTATATGCAAAATGAAAAGCCTTGAGCAGTTTGATTGACTTGGGAGGGGGGTGGTGGGAAATCAACAAACAGGCTTTCATGTGAAATTTCTCCCTTAGTCAAAGCATAACTGAGCAAAATATCTTGTTTTTTCTTAACGGGACTGATTACCTCCACTTCAATTTCCTATTTATTGTAGTTCTATCAATGTAAATCCCCTTCCCAATGGTAGGTATTTAACTTCAGGGAGGTGGTGGTAGTTGACAGTTCACTATATGCTTTATCCATGCCTAGACCTCTCAAAGCGGCTATACTCTTGTAAATGATCATTGTTCAAGGAGATTTTACGGGTAGCAATGGGGAAATGTTATCAGTACGTTTTGAATGTACATATGTTTCTAAACCCATGAGTGTGTCATTCATTTAATAGTTAGCAGCAAACTTCAGTGGGCTTAAATAAAAATTGTGATCATGAAAAGACACATTTTGTTGAAACTTTTCATCTTTCACACTTCAGAGCAATTCACAAGAATAACAAGAAAGGGGAGAAACACAATTTGTACTGTACAACAGTACAGAGTGTTGGCAAGTGGCCTTTGCTGTGGAGAATGCAACATTAATGATGATTAACAATTAACAGCCAGGCTTGATTTATATATCAAACCAGTCAACCAGCCATTAATGAAAATTGGGAATGTACAAGAGACCAGAATTGGAAGGAGTCTGAAATCTCAGTGGCTTGTAGGGTTGGAGGATATTTTAGAGATGGAATGGCTAAATTACGAGAGGATTTGAAAACTAGGATGAGATTTTTAAATTAGAAGGGTTCCTGGATCATAACCTAGTATAGACTGGTGAACATAGAGGTGATGGGTGAATGGGGCTTGTGTGAATTAGGATTGTACCAGCAAAATTAGTTTTGGGTGAGCTGTAGTTTGAGAGCTGGCCAAGACAGCATCAAATAGTCAAGTCATTAGCAGCATTTTCATGAAGGCTACAGTGTTTCCTATTAAATTTTGATCATTTGTGTTTGTATTGATTGCAATAATCAATATAATTATGCGCATGTCTCTGGATTGCAGTTGAAATACTTTTTCTGCATTTGGCAGTTGGTTCATCATCATTAAAGATGGTATAGAGTCAAAGATTCATACAGCATGGAAACAGATGCTTCAGTCCAACCAATCTATGCAGACCATAATCCCAAACTAAACTAATCCCACCTGCCTGTGCTTGGCTCATATCCCTTCAAACATTTCTTATTCATGTACTCATCTAAATGTCTTTTAAACATTGTAACTGTACCCACATCCACCACTCCTTCCGAAATTTCATTCCACACACGAACCACTCTGTGTTTAAAAAAGCCCCTCGAGTCTTCTTTTAAAATCTTTCTCGTCTCACCTTAAAAATATACCCTCTAGTTTTGGAATCCTCCACCCTGGGAAAAGCCACCTACTATTCACTTTATCCGTACTCCTCACAATTTTACAAACCTCAACAAGATCAACTGTCAACCTCCTACACTTGAGTGAATAAAGTCCCAGCCTATCCAGTCTTTTCTTACAACTCAAACCCTCCATTCCCAGCAACATTCAGGTAAATCTCTTCTGAACCCTCTTCAACTTCTTAATATCCTTCCGAGAACAGGGCAACCAGAACTGGACACAGTACTCCAGAAGAGGTTTCACCAATGTTTTGTACAACCTCCACATGACATTCCAACTCCTATCCTCCAACGTCTGAGCAATGAAGGCAAGTGTGCTAAATGCCTTCTTAACCACCCTATCTATATGTGATGCAAACTTCAAAGAATTATGTACCTGAACCCCTAGGTGTCTCTGTTCGACAACACTGCCAAGGCTCTATTTATAACTGTATAAGTACTGCCCTTGATTGTTTTATGAAAATGCACTATCTTTATATACATAAAATGCAGTAGGTTGCTGTGAATTTCATTATATGATATCCAAATTCATGAGTACTATTTTAAGGGTCAACACTCTGTCATAATCATCTTTATCAATTATGACAGATTTGGAGAACATGGTGTTCCTTACTTTTGACATTTTCCTGAAGAAACTATTTTCATTGTTCCTCGGTCACTTCTTCCAGAATCACAAATAAGGGAGTCTAATCGGGTCAGTCGCATTGGAGTGCTCAAGTGTTGGATTAAACTAAATCTTATGCAATCCTCACCTACATTAAATGTGAATTACTTATGATGAGGTGTAGGAGCCTGAAACTGCTTGTTCCACCCATGACCCCACTCTGCTGAGATCCCTTATCATAGCTTGGAAATCAAACCCCAATTTTATGGTTCTAATAGTTCAACTAACATATGTTTGACTTTCATTTCACAATTTGAACTTTTGAATACTTGAATCATTCTGCTACTGAATCTTTTGAAAAGCATTTTATCTGGACTGCATGCTTTTAATAGGTACAGCTAACCATTTGACATATTTTGGTGTTATGGTGTGAACCGCAAAGATGCGGCCATTACTTAAATCAAAACAAAGGGTTGATGTGTTTTCTCTGTGTTCATATTCAGTATTGAGACAGGTTTGAGAATTCAAGCATGTTTCATTTTGTATGAATCTACAAGCAGAAATTAACTTCACATTTTGCATTAATTGATGCCCATTTAATGGCATTCTTTATGGAAGGAATTTGTAAGGTTTGTTTTGTAGTGAATGTTGAGATATAATTTGTAACAAGCTGGGAAAATCTTGAATTGTTTTTTTCCTACAGGAGTTTGCTGTGTTCATGAACTAGGAGACGTTTTCAACATTAACAAGTGTACTGGTCAAAGTTTAAAAATATTAACTCATGGGGTGAGGACATCACTAGGCCAGCATTTATTGCCCATCCCATCCACATAAGGATAGTAGTTTCCTTCCCTAGAGGACATTAGAAAACCAGATAGGTTTTTCTGACAATCAACAATGGTTTCATGGCGGTTATAGGACTCTTAATTGCAGATTTTTTTTTATTGAATTCAAATTCCACCATCTGCCATGGTGGGATTTGAACCTGTGCCCCTGAAACATTAAGGTGCAGGGCTGGATGAACACAGCAGGCCAAGCAGCATCATAGGAGCAGAGAGGCTGATGTTTCGGGCCTAGACCCTTCATCAGAAAAGGGGGAGGGGAAGGGGGTTTTGAAATAAATAGGGAGAGAGTGGGAGGCGGATAGAAGAGGGATAGAGGAGAGGATAGGTGGAGAGGAAACAAACAGGTCGAAGAGGCGGGGATGGGGCCAGGAAAGGTGAGTGTAGGTAGGGAGTTAGGAAGGGGATAGGTCAGTCCAGGGAGGACGGACAGGTCAAGGGGGCGGGATGAGGTTGGTCGGTAGGAGATGGAGGTGTGGCTTGAGGTGGGAGGAGGGGATAGGTGGGAGGAAGAACAGGTTAGGGAGGCAGGGACGAGCTGGACTGGTTTTGGGATGCGGTGGGGGGAGGGGAGATTTTGAAACTTGTGAAATCCACATTGATACCATTGGGCTGCAGGGTTCCCAAGCGGAATATGAGTTGCTGTTTCTGCAACCTTCGGGTGGCATCGTTGTGGCACTGCAGGAGGCCCAGGATGGACATGTCGTCTGAGGAATGGGAAGGGGAGTTGAAATGGTTCGCGACTGGGAGGTGCAGTTGTTTGTTGCGAACCGAGCGTAGGTGTTCTGCAAAGCGGTCCCCGAGTCTCCGCTTGGTTTCCCCGATGTAGAGGAAGCCACACTGGGTACAGCGGATGCAGTATACCACATTGGCAGATGTGCAGGTGAACATCTGCTTGATGTGGAAAGTCTTCTTGGGGCCTGGGATGGGGGTGAGGGAGGAGGTATGGGGGCAGGTGTAGCACTTCCTGCGGTTGCAGGGAAAAGTGCCGGGTGTGGTGGAGCTGGAGGGGAGCGTGGAGCGGACAAGGGAGTCACGGAGAGAGTTGTCCCTCCGGAAAGCAGATAAAGGTGGGGAGGGAAAGATGTCTTTGGTGGTGGGGTCGGATTGCAGATGGCGGAAGTGTCGGAGGATGATGCGTTGGATCCGGAGGTTGGTGGGGTGGTACGTGAGGACGAGGGGGATTCTTTTTTGGTTTTTATTGCGTGGACGGGGTGTGAGGGATGAGGTGCGGGAGATGTGGGAGACACGGTTGAGGGCGTTCTCGACCACCGAGGAGGGGAAGTTACGGTCCTTGAAAAACGAGGACAACTGAGATGTACGGGAGTGGAATGCCTCATCCTGGGAGCAGATGCGGCGGAGGCGAAGGAATTGGGAATAGGGGATTGCATTTTTGCAGGAAGGTGGGTGGGAGGAGGAGTATTCTAGGTAGCTGTGGGAGTCGGTGGGCTTGAAATGAATATCGGTTTCTAGGTGGTTGCCCGATATGGAGACAGAGAGGTCCAGGAAGGGGAGAGAGGTGTTAGAGATGGTCCAGGAACCCCTGAAACATTACCTGGGTCTCTGGATTAACAGTTTAGCGATAATACACCAGGCCATCGCCTCCCCCTCAAACTAAAGAAACCTTTCTGATTTTAATAACTGCCTTATTTGTAAAATTAAAAGCTCTAATATTTCTTTAGACATTGTGAATTGGATCGTTTTGCTCGTGAGAGAGATACAAAGCTTGCTACTGTAACGGAATTGCATTCAGAACAGATTAGGGAGCTGGAAAACAAAATACGTGAACTGCAAATGAGTTTGGAGACAGTTGAAATGGAGAAACGACGAATGGAATGGAGCCATGCAGATGCTACAAAGGAGAAAGAGGATGCCATTGAGAAGTAAGTGCCTGTTCCTTTCCTTGAACTAGTAAATCTCTTATGCTATTGCACCAAATACAATATCCATGTTTGAAAGGATAGCTGGTTGGGAGAATGATCAGACCCAGGCACGGGATAGGGGTGGGAGAGTTTAGGATGAAAGGAGATGAGAGCAAGAGGGTGAAGATGGTGGTAGGGAGGAACTGGAAGAAGAAGAATGGACAAGGTGGTGTGGAAAAGATGGAGCGTTGGACCATCACAGGTAGAGAAATGATTTCTTCAGAAAAGGTCAACCAAGAACCTCCATCTCATCACAACCTGAAATTTTATGTTTGGTATAGGTTAAACTTCTCATTCAACTATTAGAAAGGAAGAAAGTTTACACCCGACTATTTTAATTTATTTTGTGTGAGGCACCAGACTTGAAGTTGCAGCATTCTTAATATTAAAAAAAAGTCCATCACAGCACCACCTACACTTTGACAGGCAATATAATGGGTTTTTCCATAGGGAAATATTGACTGAGCATTTTAAGTGAAATGCACGCCACATATGTTGAAGTTAATATGTAACTATGATCTTTTGCACAATGATAGTTGAGATCAGTTTACACATTTCTGCTAACGCATAGTTAGAGGATGAGAGAGGTAGAGAGAGGAAAAGCTACAATCTACAAAATTTTGACCAAAACATCCCCCTACAAGGTGCTACATGTCACAGACCACCCAATTGCTGCTTCATTTCCCCTCTTAAAGTTAAACACCTCTTCAACTGCATTTCTATCTGTGGCAGTCCCACTCTACAGATTGCATGCATTCTCCACCACTATTCCATTCCTCAACTCTCAACCCCTGTTCGTCTCAATTCATTTTCCTCATCTCCAATGCCTTTAGAATCTGAGATCATTCAACGTTTTTCACATATGGGAGTTGAAACCATTTGCATATATCACCTAAAGATCTGCCAAAAAATTAAAGTTCCAAATTTGGTGCGAAGCGCAGGCAGCAAGCAGTATGAAACAGGCAGATCCTACAGTACCAGGATCAAGATCAACAAAATACAGGTTTGAAGCTTTATGTTGGATATGCTTAAATTGGGCTCTGTAAAGGCCAAGAATGATAATTCTCAGCTAATATTTATCAGATGAAATATAGAACTAGTCATTGCTCTCTTAACTACAGCTGTGTCCTTTAGCGTGACCTAGCAAGGATTGTAACGCCAATTACAATGTGGATTACATTTCCTAATACAGTAAAAATACAGTTAATGGGTATTCTAAAAAAAGAAGCATCAGTTTAAATAGAACCATTGTCCAGACATAGTCTGTTCAATGCTCATTGTACAGAAAATGCTTGATAGGAATGATTGGAAAAGAATGGGTATTTTTTTTTCGCAGGAGAGTTTTAGTTGGATTCTTTTATATTATATATATTTTAAGGTTCTTTCAAACAAAATTTCTCACATCTTCATTGCATTTGTGCAGCACTGCATTTTTGACAGCTACAGAATTGTTTGATCTCTCTTTCCTTCAACTGTTTGTTAAAATTTAAATTTAAAAACCAGGGTATTGAATTATGCCCTTTTATTTATATCCACTTAGATACTATTATATTATTTGCACAAAATGTCATTTCTTGTTGCCTTTGCCTTTGCAGTCTGTTGTAGCCAACAGCCTTAACGCATTACCATGCACACTATCCCTTTTTCCTTGTCTTCAAAGTTTTCCTTCTATCTAAACCTTTGCCTCAGGTCTCTAACCCTTTCTAGATCTTTTCATTGGGAACTGCCAGCAGTCTCAATATAACTGCACCTCTCATGGATTCTAACCTTTCACCATCTAAACCTGCAGCACCCTATTCTCTTGAGTCTAACTGTAACTTATTTTAATTAAATGTGCTGACAAAAATGGTGCTATTGTTATTTGTAGTATTCACGTCTATATATCAGAGGCAGGATTCCAATTCTTTTACTCATCTCTTAACTCCACAGGTCCTTGACCTCTCCCACAACCTTCAAACTCAGTCCACCAACCCCAAGCAACTCACTTCTACCTTCTTCCGAAGATCCTCAAACATGATCACTCTAGTAGATTCATCTTTCCAACCTATTCTTGTCTCTCAGAACTGATTTCTTACTATTTTGACTTCTTTTCATCCCAACCTTTGCTCAGCCTCCCCCAAGTCATGGATTTAAAATACTTTTTTCGCCATTTTAATGGTTTCCAATTTCCTTGTCAAAGTGACTGGCTGTGCTGGTGGAGATTTAAATAGCAGAACATGACATACTGCTACAAAAGTACAGTTTGACTGTATGGTTTGACTTGCCCCAACAATCCTGCAGTAAGTGGGTACTGTTTCATTTCAGGCACGCTCCACATTTTTGAAGGAGCCAGGATCAGAATTCCCAACAAGAAATGCGGAACTCAGTCCCAATGGAGGGCTTGGGGAGCCAAAAGAAATGCTTCACAGGGCACATAGCTGGCATGGCTGATGCTTCATTGCAAATGCAAGTGCACATTCTTAAAAATATTGCTGTTTAGGATACATAGTATAATAACTCAGAAGACCTGACTGGAAAGGAACACTGTTTATTGTTGGGCACCAAAATAGAGGCGCTATTTGTGGCATACATAGGCTAATCCCAGCCCAGGACAGACAGTTCTGCAGACCCATCCCTGGGTCTGCTTTATAAAGGGCTTAGGTGATGAATTTAAGCTGGGCAGGTCATTGTCTGTTACCAAGGGAAGTCAAACTCAACGCACTCCACAAGTAGATTATTAGTGATTCCTCATTTACCTTGTAAGATTTACCACACACTGGTTACCCGTCTTTAACCTCATCCCATCTAAGAATCCTGTTTTAAGGGAGTACTACAGTTTTCCCAATATTCTGCATGACGTTTCCTTTGTTATATGTGAACTTTGAATACTGAAAAGTGTTTGTATGGTTGAAAATCTTCACTTTTGTTCAGAAACAGTGAAAGCGAAGAATAAAAACTGACAAAAGTTGCATTTGTTTCTGGGAACAGACGCAGACTGTTTGCCTTTCTAGCAGCAACAGGTTTACAGTCTTTGAGTGTTCACTGCACCTGGCTTTCATCTGTTGGAGCCAGGTGCTAAATCAGCCTCATCTGGCTTGTTGCACCTGAAACTGCAGCTATTATCGTGCAGTAGGTGATGTTCCTTATACTGAATATCCTTATCTTCCTCCTTGGTGTACTGCTGCTGCTCTCCTAGCTCTTCAGAGTCGATCATATCTGCTGTCTGCCTGCTCGGCTGTACAGCATACTGAGATTATGCAGCACACTGTTATGGTGTACTGCAACCCTGCCCCACATCTCCAAGTCTGATCAAATCATCAGAATCACATCTTAAGCAGGCCAACTGTCCTCTCTGCAACAGCTCTGGTGGAAGAATTGGCTGCATTTTATATACAGATATACATATTCATCATGAGTCAAGGAGTTATAGAACAGAGTCATTGGTCATGGTTGCAGAGGGTTCGCCTTGTTGGCCAGTAACCATTCTTGTAAGGCATCTGGCCCTTGAAACAAAACAGGACCATGAGAGTTCTCAAGGATACAGGCATCATGGCAACTACAAGGGTACCTCGTGCAGACTTCAAAGATGTGGTACTGATGATCACAGATGACTTGTGTAGTAGTTATTATGAGGTTAGCCAGGTGGACATCATAGAATAGGAGTTCCATGATTGGAGTTGTTAATCTGGTCCAATCAGGGAGCCCTGGCTGACAGATAAGAACAGGAGTGTCAGACATCCTATTCATTCTGAGGGAACTGGATCAGTGTCAAGGACTCTCCATGTGTAAATAAAGTGTGACTTGGTGATGGGATACCAGCCTCTGTGGAGTTATTTCAGTGGTGACGAGAGAAAAGCACATGCTCCTGAAGAAATTCGCTCACCACAATTGTCTTCGATTTGGGGTAAGTATTTTTGGCATCATGCCATTATTTGGGAAGATTGACTTGGTTGATCCTGCCATTGAAGACTGGGCTCAGTATGTGGAAAGAATGCATTATTTTTTTCCAGGTAAATGACATTAGATCAGATTAAAAGCAACGACTAATTCTCCTGACAGCTTGTGGACCTTCAGAGTTTTCAGTTATTAGGAGCCTAACTTTCAGTGAGGTACCAGATACTAAAACCTTTCAAGAGTTGATAGATTTAAGTCAAGGAATATTATGACCCTAAGCTTCCTCTAATTCTGATATGCTATCAGTTTTACTTGGCAAACCCATATTAAGATTTTGACAAGGTTAAGACAACTGGCAGAGGCATATGATTTTGGTTTAACCCTTAATGAGATGCTGAGAGGCCGTTTGGTATGTGGAATTAATGATGTAACCATGCAAAAGTGCCTACTAGCTGAAGCCCAAGTGGACTTCAAATGGGCACTGCAACTGGCTTTATCATTGGAAATTTCGGCAAGTGTAGCATTGGTGTTGCAGGGTATTCTGATGGAAGTGGACACCATTGTCAGTCGGACTGAGCTTGGGGAAACACCACTTTAGCGAAGACAATTGCATAGCCTCATTTAGGACATATCCTGATCAGAAGGACTCTAGGTCAGCCCACAGCAAAATCCCAAAACAAAGTCAAGCCTTGGCCACATGGTTAAAATTTTCTTCAGGATCCAGGGCTGGCAAGCTATTGTAGTCGCTACCAGTATGTGGACTCGACAGCAAAAGAGTTCCACTGGACCTTAATTGAGTGAGAGAACTCATAGGCCAGTATCCAGGAGAATGCACACCCTGGGATGTCCACCTACATCGGTTTGGAGCAGTTAAGTTGCTTAGCAACATCCAAATCAGAACCAATCAAGTCACCCAGTTCTAACGGAGGTTGATATTGGTGCGGATGTTTCAATGATTGCAGAACCAGTCTCTAACACAACTCGTTCTGGACTCCAACTCTTAACTTTGCGCAAGACCTCGGCTAGACTGAGAATTTATGCGAGGGGTGGGGGGGGTGGGGGTCATTTTAAAGATTAAGGTTACAACT